GGAGGGTACTCATGTAAGATGAACGTTTGGCCATCATTATTAATTAACCTAATAAAATTTATAATATCCTTCCAAAACTAAGACATGTCTTACCTTAAAACATACTTTAAAAATTTGTTCAGGGCATTCATTTTCACATCCTTCAAATTCATAGACCAATGACTTACAAAGAAATAAACCAATAATTTAATAACTGAGAACAAGCTGGAAAGAGTTACTATTTCTATTTTAGGCTTTAGCTTTATAAATTAATACTTTGTATAGATTGTTTTACATATTGAAATTTCTAAAGCCTGGGAAATATGCTTTTGGAATTAATCAGTAGATTGACAAATCCACTGACTGTTTATCTTTTCTTTTCTTATCATATTTACTTCTCAGCATCATTCCTCAAGTTGGCTTTCTTAAAGCAATGTTTTCCCTTGCTTCTTGATATTACTCTAATACTCTAATTACTCTAATATGGTTTTCAAATTTTCTGAAGCTTTCCTGATTTTTAGTTGTTTTATCAGTTATTGAGAGAAGAGAGTTAAAATCTTCAGCTATGATTGTGAAGTACCTACCTCTTCATTTAGTTCTGTCAGATTTTGCAACATATATTTACAAGTTACATGCATAGGTCATCCACATGTATGACTGTTATGTCTTCCTGATGAACTGACTCTTTTGTGTGTGTGTGTGTGTGTGTGTGTGTGTGTGTGTATATTTTTTTTTCACATCTTTATTGGAGTATAAATGCTTTATAATGTTGTATTATCATTATGAAATGCAGCTCTTTGATTCTGGTGATATATCTTATCTTTATATCTACCTGACATGGGTAGAGCCACTCTAGTTTTCTTGCATTTGCAGTTTTTGTGGTGTATCTTTTTCCAATTTTTATCTTAAACTAATTTTTATGCAAGCAAAAACAAGCAAATAAACAAAGTAGGTAGCAGAAACTTGGAATTTTATTATTTTCAAAAGATAAATATAAAGAGCAGTCTAATTATTATATTGTTATCTAGATTTACATGGGTAATTGCTTGTTTTTGGTGAATTTCCTTACTTCATGACTCTCCACTGTTGCTTTTTCCTTCTGTAATTATCCATTGTCGGAGTTCCTATTCTACAGGCTTTTCATTTGCTTTTGAGATTTGCTGATAGGAAAATGTTAGTTTATAAGAACGTTGTTATAGATTTTGGAATCATTTCACCAAAATGTGCTAAAAGAAAAAAATCTTTAAGGAATGCCCACCATACAATGATTTACGGTGAAGTTCAAAACACTCCAAATTTTGTCATATATTTATGTATTATATTTAAAAATAAAAGAAATAAGTTTATGTTTAAAATTATCCTTGAAAGTTTCCCATTATTATTTTTTAGAGATAATAAAATTAGTTTGAACTGCTAGATTGTTGAGAAAAAATGAAAAATGGGTAAGAGCTCTTTATTCAATGGCAAACCCAAATGTTTATGTCAACTACCTGAGCTTGTAAATTATATTGATTCTCGAACAAATAGTTCTCTGATTTTCACTAATGTAATTTTATTGTTAGATTCCCCTGATCATATCAACATTTTTAAAATTTGTTTAACATTTATCTAACTTTAAAAAAAATGTCTTATATGATTTAGGAAATTTGCTAGGAACATTTCTTAAACATAAATTAAAAAGGCAAGCATGGGCTTCCTTGGTGGCGCAGTGGTTGGGAGTCTGCCTGCCGATGCAGGGGATGCGGGTTCACGCCCTGGTCCGGGAGGATCCCACATGCCGCGGAGCGGCTGGGCCCGTGGGCCATGGCCGCTGGGCCTGCGCGTCCAGAGCCTGTGCTCCGCGGCGGGAGAGGCCACAGCAGTGAGAGGCCCGCGTGCCACAAAAAGAAAAAAAAAAAAAAGGCAAGCATGTTGGGTGGAGGGGCATTGCAAACAATCTTGGATAAACATTCTTATTAGCTGTTATCTTACTAGAAACTATGCACTGCATCTAAAATCCCTTCCCAGTAGTCTTCTTGGTCAGTTACCGAACAGTACAAACAAATTCTATAATAAGAGAATAACAAAAAGAGAACAGCGCAAACTGAAAGGAAACATCAAAACAAAAACTATTTCTACAGATATTGTATTAAATATTGTCTTCTTTTACAGGTAATGGAGTTATGTGAAAAAGTTAACAAAAAAGGAAGAAAAATTTATATAGTTCTCCCTTGCTGTAGTCACTTTTATTAAAAATCACTAATATGAAAAAATAAAGTGACAACAGAATTTCTTAGGGCCCAAAGCCAGCCTTTTTTTTTTTTTTTTAAATAAAGGAATTGATATTTGGGGTTGTCATAGCAAATGATCTCCAAAGAAGGGGGATAAAATTGACAGTGTGAGCTTCCATTCAGATTATTCACACTTGACCTATCTAAGAATTAAAATCTAAGATGGCAACAGAGTAGCATTAGGAAAAATCTCAAATAGGAGTGGTTTCCAGTGTGATACACTAAACTCATTAATGACTTTTTTCATCTTAAAAATAAAATAATTGGGATATTCTGCAGTTAAAAATTATCTGTAGTGGGAAGCAGCAGCATAGAACAGGGAGATCAGCTCGGTGCTTTGTGATGACCTAGAGGGGTGGGATAGGGAGGGTGGGAGGGAGGCTCAAGAGGGAGGGGATGTGGAGACATGTGTATGCATATGGCTGATTCACTTTGGTGTACAACAGAAACTAACACAGTATTGTGAAGCAATTATACTCCAATAAAGATCTATTAAAAAAATTATCTGTATACACAGGTGGACTACTAAGCATCATAAAAATAAGTTAATAGAAATAAACTCTATTTGTCTATGTTAAAAAAGGTATTATTAATCTAAAATGAATAGCTGGAATTAAATTCAGCAATGAAATCTGAATTGCCATTTAAAAACTCATGGCTTAGAGAATATTTTCTTTAAAGGCACCTATTATGAATATCATTTTTCTAGAAGAGATGTTAATGCTAATCATATAATAGTATTGCTTTTCTTGCTGACCATAAAGAGTAAGACCCCCTGATCTCTGAATGGGCTTAACAAACAGATGTAATTATTGTTCATTTTACATTAGCTTTAAAAGTCAATTCTCTTCAGTTTCTTCAAATACTCTTTAATGAAGAAAAACAGATAGAAATATAAAAACAATCTCAGTATATTCTGAATATTGACTTTATAGTGAATATCACTGCATATTTTTAAATTATAAAATTAAGTACATAAGAAAGCCCCTTGACTCTTCCTGTCAGTTTTTCCTACTTCCTTTTACTTTTTTGATTTTTTTAAAATTAAAATCCAGACCAAAGAGAGAGGTAGAAAACTGAATACTTGACTGTTACAGACTTTGAGATTAATATCTTTTAATATAACAGCTATTATTAAGTTTGCGTTGTTCAGAGAGGTTCAGACTACATGTCAAGCAAAAGGTCAGGAAGCCTGGACTGGTGCAGACAGAAACACTTATGTTGTCAATATAGAAACCACATAGTCATACATATAGCGGTGTACTGGTAAATATTTAACAACAGCTCTCCAAAATTTAAAAGCCCTACCTTGCATTGTTTGCCAATTTCTGTGGCATAATATTCCCGTGTGGCTGATTTCAAGCTAACAAAGTGACATAAATGAATGCACATTAGCTATTATATAGTATTTCTACATATAGATCCAATAGATGTAAATAAGCTCACAAGTGTAATTAATAGTAAAATATAGTAAAGTTAGTAGGAAATGTAGAGATTTCAGTACTGATTACCCTTTTAAAAATATGATTTGTTTCATTATAAGTGTATATAATTTAATTTTTTTAATGCCTGTGCTTAACTGTCAGCTCATAAAATTCCTGAAATTCTAACAATGATCAAGTATAAGCACACCACTCCTACACACCACTGCATAGACACAAAGACCACCCCAGAGATATAAACTGGTTTGGGATGCAGAGATCTCTTCCAGTTATTACTTTAATAGCTGACAGGAATACATGACTGGATACCCCTAATAGCCTATGACAATCACTTCTCTTAAATTCCCTTCTCTCTCCCTGATTCATTTCTGGCCTCTAGTGGTAGCCACTAGTGTTGTTATTATTGTTTTTATCAGTGTTAGAAAAGGAAATATCAGTGGTCATCATTGTACGTGAGTCATAATACTACTCATATTAAATAGTTGTATTTTTCTGTTCTCACACTATTTATGAACATCCCTTATCAATAATGAGAAATCAGTTAAACGATAATAGGACATGATAAAATGTCACTGAATTGAGAGTCAGAAATCTCAGGCTGTTGTTCCGGATTCACACCCACTAGAGGAAAGTCATTTAAAATTTTGGTCCCCTCATTTTACATCTTTGAAATAATATTGTTTATACTTTTTACAGAAATCCTCCAAAGAAAATAACTCTTGCAATTATAAAAATAAAACCATAACATACTTGAATCCTAAAGAATGGCTGATTCTTGGACATAAAGATGAAAGACTCCACTGCGTATTTTCCTGCCTAGCTCATCATCTAACTGGGCATAGACTGAAAGAGGGCACCTGGAGTCAATGGGCAAAATCAATCAAACATTCAGATGAAATTTTACTAGATTAATTGTTATTGGAACAAAAATGACTAAATAAACTACTTTTATGGTATCATATAAAGTCTCAATATCATTAAAATGAAGTCCAGTTAATAGGTCTCTCAATAGCTTTTTAAAAACATAACAGCTGATGCCCATTTCTCTTTATCTGACTTTTCCCAGACTTGGTATCAATTTATTCTTTTTTAATTCCTTCACAGAATCTTAGAATTTTGGGGAAGAGTACCTTATAAACAGAACTACAAACCCTTTATTTGACATATGAGAAAGGCTAAGTTCCACGAGGATACCTGACCCCTGCCCAGTGTTATGCAGTTAACTATTGATAGAAGCAGGGATTAACCAGGTCTACAGACTTCACTATCTACCAGCACTGAAAACATTAATCTTAGAGCAAACCATTACCTCTTGTAGAACTCTTTTCATCTTTAATAATAATGTCTTGACGGCTGTGCAGTCCTGTAGCATCAGTCTGAATGGCAGAGAATCGATGCCTCCATTTTCTTCCACACCTGGCAGGGGCCAATCTGCAGATGGACTGCTGGGCGTTCCCCTGATATGGGGACACCTGGCTTCCTGATCAATCTCTTTTGTTAATTTCAGGGAAAGGTTCCTAACAAGAAAAAAATGAACAAAAATTACTAGGTAGTATATTCAGAGCAGTATTTTCCAAGCTGTTGATCAATGTCAGTAGTGAGCTAGAAAAAACTTCCTTGTGACTCTCATTATTTCTTCACATTAGTCTTTGGAAATTCTGAAACTTTCTGTCAAAATTATGAAGTTATTTGTCAATTTTATATAGAGTGGTAATAAGGTTCAATGACAATCACTATTTTAGAATGTGATTTTTTTCCCCAACTGGAATTTAATTTATACATGATAACAATGGGTTTACACTTATTTAACTCTTTTAAAAATGTTGAAATTCAAAAGTAATCACTGAAAGAGAAATTTCATATAGAGATTTTCTGAAAATATGCTTAAAAATTAACTGGAAAGAAAAGACTAAGAAACCAAAACTTGGGATAAAAAATTTTGGTAATTATTATTTTAAATTACTAAATTAATCAATTGTGGATTCAACCATTTTGTGGATTAAGAAAGACTAGTATGCATAGGATTTTATGTGAAAATAGTGAAATAACTGCGAGATGCATAACTTCATATGTAATTAGCATGCTTATCAAATAATCATTAAATTTTAGCATAGTAATGTGTGGAAAATATTTTATTGATTACTTGATATAAACAATTATTTTTAAATACTGCATTTTGAAAATAACACGCTTATATTGAAGGTATATATAAAGAAAAGATATTAAGATTAACAATTTTCCAAATATGCCTATGAGGCAGATATAAAAATAGTATGAAAAGAGCAGCCTATGAAAATAGTCATTTTTAATGAGTTTTTCTAAATTTGTTTCCATTCATTAAAACTAATGGGCCTAAAATAAATAAATAAATAAATAAAAATAAAGGGGCTTCCCTGGTGGCGCAGTGGTTTAGAGTCCGCCTGCCGATGCAGGGGACACGGGTTCGTGCCCCGGTCCGGGAGGATCCCACATGCCGCGGAGCAGCTGGGCCCGTGAGCCATGGCCGCTGAGCCTGCGCGTCCGGAGCCTGTGCTCCACAACGGGAGAGGCCACAACAGTGAGAGGCCCGCGTACCGCAAAAAAACCCCAAAACTAATGGGCCTATACAATAATGGCAATACTATAACATAGCTCAGGATATTTATGAAACTTATGCTCAATTTCAATAGCTTTTATGTATATTATTTACTGAAGTATATGACGAGGTCACTTGGCAACCTAAATTGAGAAAAAACAGAGTTGCCTTGGAGCCTGCCACCAAGGTCAGGCAACGATGCAAATAAAAAAATACGTCCTTGGTTAATTTTATCCAAATCTGATTATTCACAAATAGTATAACAATTTAGAAAGTATCGGATAATTAGCAAAGAAACACATTTTTGGATCACACAATTGTTGACTTGTCTTCATGGGTATATTCAAGATCACAATTGTTATTTGAAGTGATCATATTAATTACTATCCCCACTTTACATTTACAATGAAATAATAAATAAATAGTCATAGCTAACATTTTTTGAGGATTGACTGTGGGCCAAGTACTGTGCTAACCACTTCATGTGTGTTAATTTATCCAAACCTTGAACAAAACCAAGAGGTAGCTATAATGAGTATCTTCATTTTACATATGAGAAAATAGGCCCAGATAAGTAATTTTTCTCAAATTAAAATAGCTATTAAGAAGTTGACCTGAGATGAACCAACCTAAGTACATAAGCAGGATAAGATTTTTTTTTCCTACCAGCCATTTAACATGCATATATATACAATAATAATTAATGTATCTCAGGTAGTCCTGTAAGGACTTCATATATGCTAAACCACTTAATACTCATACAACTCTTTGAGGTATTAAAATCCCCATTTCACAGTTGAGGGATTTGAATCTCAAAGAAGTTAAGGTACATGCTGATGGCAATACAGCAAACAAGCAACAGAGCAGAGATTTGAATGCAAGCAGTGCACTCGAGCTCTTAGTCACAAGATTCTGCATCTCATAAACAAGCAAGCAAATGAACAAAAACAAAAATTGAAAAAAATAAAACATACCTATAATTACACAAAGCATCATTTATATTTTCATTTTTAAAATATACTTTCATGTGGCTTAATATCATCAAAACAAACAACCCAGTCAAAAAATGGGCAGAAGACCTAAATAGACGTTTCTCCAAAGAGGACATACAGATGGCCAAGAGGCACATGAAAAGATGTTCAACATCACTACTTATTAGAGAAATGCAAATCAAAACTACAATGAGATATCACCTCACACCGGTCAGAATGGCCATCATCAAAAAATCTACAAACAATAAATTCTGGAGAGGGTGTGGAGAGAAGGGAATCCTCTTGCACTGTTGGTGGGAATGTAAATTGATACAGCCACTATGGAGAATAGTACGGAGGTTCCTTTAAAAAACTAAAAATAGAGCTACCATATGATCATGCAATCCCACTCCTGGGCATATATCCATAAAAAAACATGCACCCCAATGTTCACTGCAGCACTGTTTACCATAGGCAAGACATGGAAGCAACCTAAATGTCCATCGACAGAGGAATGGATAAAGAAGATGTGGTACATATATACAATGGAATATTACCCAGCCATTTAGAAAGAATGAAATAATGCCATTTGCAGCAATATACATGGACCTAGAGATTGTCATACTGAGTGAAGTCAGACAGAGAAAGACAAATATTGTATGATATCGCTTATATGCAAAATCTAAAAAGAAATGATACAATTGAACTTATTTACAAAACAGAAACAGATTCACAGACTTAGAGACCTGTGGTTACCACGGGGGAAGGGATAGTTAGGGAGTTTGGGATTGACATGTACACACTGCTATATTTAAAATAGACAACCAACAATAACCTACTGTACAGCACAGGGAACTCTGCTCAATATTATGCTGCAACCTAAATGGGAAAAGAATTTGAAAAAGAATAGATGCATGTATATGTATAACTGAATCACTTTGCTGTACACCTGAAACTATCACGACATTGTTAATCACCTATACTCCAATATAAAATAAAAAATTTTAAAAATAAATATATTTTATTAGACATGACTGATTCATTTTAATTATATACAACTTGTAGTGAGCTATACGATCATTCTTAAAGGTTTTTATTTTAGTGTCGAAGACCAATAGGAAAATAAAATATAAAAGTTAAAATTCACAGCACAAGTAACAGTATTTTAGTTATAGTAGAATTTTCAAAGATTTATCAGGTTTAAGTTGTGAACTTGCCTGGTGTCTGGCACATATTAAGCTGACTCAGTAAATAACTGTATAATTGAAGTTGAACAAATGAATACAGTAATGCGTAAATGAACAAAACAATTCTTTGTAATAATCTATGCATACAACTCTCATTTGTACACAGACATTTTTCTGGAAGGTGAATTTTTATGTAATGCAGGGCTGCCACCCACGGTTCCAAATTTCCCAGCACTCTTACAATAAAATAAACTAACAATTTTATAATTCCTTTTAATTAGATTGCTATTTCTTTGAACCTATTTGTCCAATTATGTATCTAAACATCAGTAAAGACTGAAAAAGGTTTCACAAACCACACCAGTGTGAAGTTCTGCAACTAATTTCAGGAAACTACTGAGATTCTAAGGATTACATTTTAGCATTTACACAACTAAGGATCACTGCTGTTTCAGATAGTTACGAATGGACCATATGCAGAAATGTACTTAGAAGATAAAATTAGCCATTTGTTTTACACTTCAAAAGTTTGGATCTATCCTTAATTCCAACAAGAAAGAGAATGATGGCATTATGTCACAGTTATGGAAAACATCCACATTGTGTCCAGCAGAGCAACAGCGGCTGGTGTTGCAGAGATTAATAGGACTCTGTCACTGACCTCAAGAGGCTCACCATGAACATTAACTGCTTAATAATTGATACCAAAAAATAACAGCTAATATTCTTTCCCATATGGAAAACAAATCCATTTATTTCTACATGAAAAAGAGTGGGCTGCAACACCACAATAATCAAAACCATTCTTCATTAGGTTGAGTCAATTAGTAAAATGGGCTGTTAATCAGGTCTGCTACTCAGCTGCACAGGCCGGCACAGGTATCCTAGTCTATATTTATGGTCATTGTATTTCTGACTGATTGGTGCCTGGGGAATTACAATTATTAAATATTTTGAATACTAATGTGTTTAACAATAGACTATGATTGGGCCAAAAATACCCATGTGTCTCTGGGCAAATACACCTAAAAAAATCCATCCCTGTAATTGATAAGAAAAGGAGAAAAGTCTCTAATATGAAGTCATAGTTTCCCCTGGCACAGACAACCCATAATAAGGCCGGGAGGGTAGAGCAAGGTTCAGGTGCTCTCCTGTTCCTGCATTAGCAGGGCTCATGAGATGATGCAATTCATGTACTTCAGGATATATAGCTCTCTGTCTGCCAACACTCTGAATTATTATTGTCCAGAAAACTGAAGAAATGTGCTTTATATCAAAACAGATAGTCCGTTCACTTCACACACACACACAAAGGGTAAGATACTGAAGCCCGATACAGTGGTTCATTAATCACCATAACTACTGCAAACAAAAAACAAAGACAATGTAATCTCCACTGAGCACATCCATATACACTTCACCCTCTCTGTATCATCTCCATGAATCTTTGCTAGAATTGCCCAGTAATATTTTCACTTGCCTTGTTGATGATAAATGCCAACCAAGTCTTTATAATTGAAAATTTAGTAACATTTAGAGAGTCAAATTGAGACTTATGGGCCTTTCTTAGTCTGTACGTTTTAGATAATAAAGCTTTTGTGTAAAATTGACAGCAAAATTCATAAATGTTACATTAAATATATTCTTGAAAGTTTCAACTTGAGAAACTGGAGAGTTTCAACTGGTATTTAAAACGTTTGACTCAAACTACTATGGTGAATTGGCTCTGTACTTTTGTCACTGGGATCCTTTGTGTGAAAGAAATTTTCTACCAAGCTAGTTCA